AAAGAACCAAGAATATGAATCCCTGCAGTCACGAAAGCTTTAAATCAAAATCATGTAGAATTCGTTCAACGAAGAGGGAAGGGGTGATTATGTCGGACGCAACCCAATTTTTTTTCCAGCGTAACCCCTGCGTTAAACGAGGTTTTCCTAATATCTTGCTATTGTTATTTATGGTTTCAAATTTGCCTAGCACTTGGAAGAGGTTGGCTTTTATTTTTAAAAGATGACCTAAAACGGTGGGATTAGACACATTTATGCAATGTAAAATATAGTACTAGTTAAATTTCGATTTAAAGCTTTCGTGACTGCAGGGATTCATATTCTTGGTTCTTTCGGTAAAGTCACGTAGAAGGGAAATAATAAAATAATAAAAATGAAACATAATATAATAAAATTCTCACGACGTTTCGGCCACAACGCAAGCAGCCATTAGGAGCGCTGTCTTTCCGACAGCTCTGTTCACCTGAGGACGGCTGCTTGCGTTGTGGCCGAAACGTCGTGAGAATTTTATTATATTATGTTTTATTTTTATTATCGTATTAGTACTAGTTAATTCGTTTATTGTTCAAATCCGGCAGGCAGCCCTGGTTAATGCTGAGTGTGAATTAACCACAGTATACACACTGTCCGCTTCACACAGAACGTTAAAGACCCCGTGGCTTTAGTTTTTAAGAAGAGTAGACCATTGTCTGCAAGATTTGCCAATTTTTTTGAATGAATGACTTGTGGATTAATTAATTTTTAAACACACAGAAACCTATCAGCAATTCTTTAATTCATGTTCAGGGCGTCATTCACGTTCACATAAATAATACATCCAGTGACACTGTTCAGTAACACGTTTACCTACATGCTAAGTTGGCGGGTATCATGTGTGTCCACAGCTGATAAATCACATTGGTAATAACTGTAAACAGTCATCTGGAGCAGCCCCGGTAAAATAAAAACGTGGATGATGCAAAACATACATAGCTCGGGCTGTTAAATTGCAGTTCATATAGGTAGGCTAAGAATTTACCTTGTTTTTTTTACTTTGCAATACAGTATTGTAATTAATAAATACATACAGTATATAGTTTATACAGTACGGTACTTAAATTGCTCTGTTTTGCTAAATTATCACCATTCTATAAGACTCCTGGGTAGGCTAGGCCATCTTCGACTTACGAAATTTTTGACTTACGATGGGGTCGTCGTAACGCACCTCCATGTGTAAGTAGAGGACTACCTGTACGTGTTTGCATGACGGCAATTAATCCATGAGCACAGATGAGATGACCGACAGTTGACTGTTCCACTTAACATACAACTGAGCACGCATACATTTTCATCTTAGATGAATCTCTGCCACCTCCCAACGACGGATCTGCTGATGTGTGTGCTTTGGCCACGGGGTTTGTGAGCTTGCCAGACAACGCCGCGTGCCTTGAATCCTTAAGCGTACGCTTAGACGCACTTAAATAATATCAGAGGGACCACGCAGAGTCGGGGCAGCGATGCAGCGTCGTCCTGACCGCATTTTGTAATGGAGACGCTTGCGCCGTTCATAGTCGCACTCGCTCGCTGTCCATCGGTGTTCCGCTGCGCCAGTGCGTACTCCTCATCCTCCGCCTTCCCCCAAGGTTGCGCTTCGTTATTTAGAACGTCTTTAATCGCAGCTGACGTGAGTCTTTGGAAATCCACGTTGGGCCCAGCGTTAAATTGCCTGCTTGTCATTCATTCTAAGTGTCGCTCAGTGGGACTTCTCTTCACAAGCGGCTTCGTAATTGACGCTTAAAGTGAGGGGCGATGTTCGCCGAATGTTGCCCGTCTGGACTTGAAAGGGCTCAGCGGTATTGCGGGTTTCGGCCATGTCAGAAGATGCGGAAGAGGACCGTCCCCAGAGGCTTTACTTTTTCTCTGTAGGTATTTCCAGGGGCAAAGTTTTCTTGGCTTGCTTCGCTCGAAGAGTGCGATCAGAGTTAATATGCTATGCTTGCGTCGTCGCTAACAGTGATGCCACGGTTGTGTCTTGAACCGATCGATGCGTAGTATCTTGCAGCCCTGCAAAAAAAACTGCAGCCCTGCAATTGCTTCCGTCGCTGGTGACGGAAGGTCCTCCACTAGAGAGAGCTCTAGAGAGTCCCTCTCGAGGGTATTTGGCCTGCTCTGCCATGCTGGTCAGAAGGCTTGGAAGAGTGTGGATGTATTCCACCACACTCTTAACGCACCACCACACGCAACTTGCCGATAGACTAGCTGTGGTGTGCCCATTTCTACTTGAGGGTGGACATAGGTGGAGGGGAATGAAGAAACATAGTATATGGGGCTTTCAAATATTACAGTAATTTAAATTTCACAGCAAAAGTGTTTTGAAGCAAAATTTGGAGTGTGTGTGTTACTGTATAATTTGGTCGATGTGTGTCACCAGATTTACGTAACTATAGACACACTTGGGCACATCTTCGGTGCGTTTTGCTTTCCAGAGCATCTTGTAATCCAGAGAATACTGTGATTGTTTTGGTTACATAAGTGAGATTTGTGAACTTGGTTAAATGTTCTGTGTGACTGTGTGTCGGGGATGTCCTCGGGTTGCCATGGCTTTCCGTCTTTTGCCTTGTCATTGGTACAATGTGAGGCAAAACTGTCTGCGGAAGAATTCCCAAAGGGCCTTTGGCAGGCTGCCCGTCGGCGTGTATCAGCACACTGGCAAAATCTTACCAAAGGATTTTTTTTGCCAAATGTTTTCTTTGCTTGGTAATGTGAAAGTTGTTCAATTCAGCACAAACCATTTATTTATAAGGCCCCTGACCCCAACACCGAGGGATTATCAAAATAAAAATTACGTGATTTATTTATGAATTCAGGAAAAAAAAACATTACTGAGCCTCAGGACTGATTATCTGGAGTGAACTTTATTCGGGTGTTTTGTCGCCCGCGACTGCATCATTGGTCAGTCACCCCCTTATCACTCTTCTAGTTATACTACCATGGTTATTGTTACCGTAAACGTCACTCATTGATGTGTAAGAATCACTGTGTTGAACCACCAGACTGCAGGTCAAAACGCTTTCCTGTTTGTTTCTTTCCGCACACGGCATACCCTTCCATGGTCTCTTTTTCCTACGTTCTTATAACCTTGCTCAATTGCGTTACACTCTTGGCAGTACGATATCAAGATTATTAAAAAAAGGCTTTACCCTTTCTGGCATACACATGTGTTTTAGATGTTCAAACACCAAATAGACACCTATTGCAAGACATCAAGTCTGCATTAACCACGCATTTTTAGGTATGTTAACAATAATAGTACATCGTTTGTGGTTCAAATGTTTGCAATGAACCGTGAAGGGGTGCATACTTGGAATCACACTAAGACGCATTGATTAAAGAATGAGCATATTAATGACTTGTGGAGTCATTAATGACTAGTGATTTTTTCAAATTTGATAAAGTTGTACTCAATGCCCTACTCTTCGAAAAAACTAAAGCTGCGGCATCTTTAACGTTCCCTGTGAAGCGGACGGTGTGTATACTGTGGTTCATTCACACTCAGCATTAACCGGGGCTGCCTGCCAGAATTTAACAATTAATTAACTAGTACCCTAATTTACATTGCATGAATGTGTTTGAACATCTGGGCATTTGCAACAAACGGCAAATGTGGTACCGCTGGGCCATGATGATGGTGGTTGTGATGTAGAATAATGATGATGATTGTGATGTAGAACAATGATGATGATGGTTGTGATCTAGAACGATGATGATGATGATGGTTGTGATGTATAACAATGATGATGATGGCTGTGATGTAGAACATTGATGATGATGGTTGTGATGTAGAACGATGATGGTTGTGATGTAGAACAATGATGATGATCGTTGTGATGTAGAACAATGATGATGGTTGTGATGTAGAACAATGATGATGATGATGGTTGTGATGTAGAACAATGATGATGGTTGTGATGTAGAATGATGATGATCGTTTTGATGTAGAACAATGATGATGATGGTTGTGATGTAGAACAATGATGATGATGGTTGTGATGTAGAACAATGATGATGATGATGGTTGTGATGTAGAACAATGATGATGATGGTTGTGATGTAGAACAATGATGATGGTTGTGATGTAGAATGATGATGATCGTTTTGATGTAGAACAATTATGATGATGGTTGTGATGTAGAACAATGATGATGATGGTTGTGATGTAGAACAATGATGATGATGGTTGTGATGTAGAACAATGATGATGATGGTTGTGATGTAGAACAATGATGATGATGGTTGTGATGTAGAACAATGATGATGGTTATGATGTAGAACAATGATGATGATGGTTGTGATGTAGAACAATGATGATGATCGTTGTGATGTAGAACGACGATGATGATGATGATGGTTGTGATGTAGAATGATGATGATGATGGTTGTGATGTAGAACAATGATGATGATGGTTGTGATGTAAAACAATGATGATGATCGTTGTGATGTAGAACGATGATGATGATCGTTGTGATGTAGAACAATGATGATGATGATTGTTGTGATGTAGAACAATGATGATGATTGTTGTGATGTAGAACAATGATGATGATGGTTGTGATGTAGAACGATGATGATGATGGTTGTGATGTAGAATGATGATGATAATGGTTGTGATGTAGAACGATGATGATGATGGTTGTGATGTAGAAAGATGATGATGATGATGATGGCTGTGATGTAGAACAATTATGATGATGGTTGTGATGTAGAATGATGATGTTGGTTGTGATGTAGAACGATGATGATGGTTGTGATGTAGAACGATGATGTTGGTTGTGATGTAGAGCGATGATGTTGGTTGTGATGTAGAAAGATGATGATGATGGTTGTGATGTAGAAAGATGATGGCCATGGGTGTGATCTAGAATGGCGGCAGCGGCGGCGAGTGCGCTGCGGGCAGCGTTGGTGTCAGTGTACGCAGCGCTGACCCGCGTGTGCGTGCCGTTGTATTTTGCCGCGATGACAGCAGGCGTCCTTCCAGCGCTCCAACAGCCACGACAAGGTGCGGCGCATCGTCGCCGAGGAGGGGAGAACGGCGCGGAACCTCATCGCATGGAGCGTCCCGCTGGAGAGCCGCGACGAGGAGGGTTCGTTTCCCCACCTCGTCATCTGTGCCCCCATTCGCCAGATCATAAGGCGCACTTTTCGCCGCTATTATCTTAAAGCAAAAAAGTTAAGAATGTTATTGTCACCGCACAGCCACTTCCACCGTTAACGTATTCTTCACATTATAAGAGGCAGTGTTTTTCCCACTCACTCTACATGTTTGTTTGCCACTCTGCCCGATGTCGTGTTATCAGGATTTTTTTTTACTTTCAAAAATACCCCACGAATTGGGGTGCATCTTTCTTTTCCGGAGTGCCTTATAAGGAACAATGAAAATATAAAAAAGTTACATCCCTAAAATAAAAAAAATACATTTGGAAATAAAAAATTGTTTATGAAATGAATGCTGCCATGGTCAGCGGGCTCGACATGCAATCCAGAGGTTGAAACAACAAATTCTCTCTGTCCAACGTAATCAATCGAACTTTATTTTAACGCGAGCGCCCTTCACAATCAAATTGTCACAGGGCGCTTGACGTGCTAACATAACACCCTGTGGTGTAAATGGGTTCACCACAGTCGACTGGGCTGGTTGCTTGTGATGGGGGCTGCAGTGGTGGCTTGGCCCACCACCACCACCCCTGCGTGAGTGTGAGTGCCGCACCCGTTACCATTATCGCCCACAGAGTGATGGGTGTTCGCACGTCCAATTCTCACGGATCGTCACGCGTGACCACATTAACCTGTTGCGCGACTTTTACCACCCACGTGTGAAGCTGTTCCCTTGTTTAGTGCATCCACCAGGGGGTGCTGTAGTACACACCAACACACACCCCCCCCCACACTCATTCTTCCTCCTCCTTGCAACTTCTGTCGCGATTCAGCAGCTATCACCGATGCGCATTCGGGTCGTAGCGTTTGTTGTTGTTGTTGTTGCTGTTGTGGTGCAGACACGATATCCAGACGTTTTCGTTCCACGTCCAGGGAGCTTTGATGGCAACTGAATTCAGTTTGCACTGGCAGAATGCAAAATAATCGATTCTTGATTCAAATTACGACTCCCCCCCCCACCAAATTTTTTTGTTACAATTAATAATATTTTGCTGGAGGCGGTGATTTGCTTCATGTCTCAGTTTCTGGACGCCCTGTCTTAGCATAGTTCATGCAATCACTCCAGCAGTGCGCCTCTTTCTTGGCCAGCAGAGGACGATATTGTCCAACAAGTGTTCAGTATCACTGCACGACTCGAGGTGGGGGGGGGGGGGGGGGGGGGAAGGGGATGGGTTGTGTTGTTGTCCAGCATGACGTCCGACATTTAGCTCCGCGTGCCGGGAACTTCTTCAGCAACTGAATCTGAATTCAGTTCACGGCGGATTCGGGTCCTGATGAAGTTGCGCCGCGCCGTAGAGCTGCGGAGCACGTGGAACGCCGGGCCGAGGCCGCGCAGCGACACCGCCCAAAAGCGCGTTGGAGAGCTTGACAACATCACAACGGCGATAGTGTACGCTGTCACGTCGATTTGATGCCAGCGCTGCCGGTGTTTGGGCACCGTCGCTGCATGTTGCATATTCAGATTTACAAACACAGACACAATTTGAACCGAGAAGATGGTTTCAAATTAAGCATCCATTGGAAAGATGTTCTAAATCGAACCAAACATTAAACAAATTTTCATTGGTACAGTATATTTTTCAAGTAGTGGTACCCCAAACTTTCGCAGCTCTTAAAAATTCCGTTTTCACACCATCAATAGGTAAACTCCCCCTCGCCAACCGGCATGTTCACCCGCATGTTCACCCCCTCTACACCGTTCATCATGCTAAGTCGGCCAATCAAATGATATTTTTTATGCTAATTCCTTTGTCAAGGCACCTCGTTTCCTCGCACACAGCTTAAAGGTCGCGGTCTGAGCGTGGCTGTGTTTCACTCCAGCGCTGTCCTCGAGACAGTCTGGTCCCTTCGCCTGATGAAGGCCGCTTGTGTTGTGGCCGAAACGCCGTGATTTTTGTTGTTTTATTTTTTACCTACGTGACTTTTACCGAATAGAACCAAAGAGTACGGGCACAGACATTATTTTGAAAGTGCGAGCAACGCTCGATTTTCAGGGGTTATTGGGTAAAGGAAGTCCTGGTTTCACACGTAGGCTTATTAATTTAAATAATATTACCTGTCAAAACGTACTCGAATTGTTCATTTTGTGAGTTTACTCTCCAACACCCCAGTGTGCTGAACTATTAACGCATTGGCATGTTTTGTTTATGTGACAAACCTTAGTAGTTGGCCGTGTCGGGTGGTGGCGGGTTTAACGACACACATATAATTACGCGATCTAACCTCAATTAAAAAAAAAATCTCATTATGGAAGTACCCGGGAAAAACGAAAACACTGATAATGCGAGACTCATGTAAATTAGTCTATTAAAGTGCAACGATGGTTTGACCTACGCGCAGTTGGGAGGGCGAAAACGTGCAACGCATGCAACGTTTTGCGCTCGGAGCTGGCGGCTCACCTGGCGATGCGTTTGCGGCCCGCCTGGGGGCGTGGGGGCACCGCGTCGCTGGCCCCTCCTCGACGGGTGAGGAGCAGCGAGACGAGAAACGGAACCGGCGCTCTTGAAGATTTGCATCTTTGATCCGCAACCCCATGAAACCTTCCCACCGCTACTTTGAGAGTTAACCAATATAGGCTCGTAACGTAACGTTCGCGTGGCATTCATGTGAATGGAGCAGATATAACTCTACAAATGAGGTGATAACTCTACAAATGAGGTGGTTACATACAATCCAAGAAATGATAAATTTGACACAGTAAAAAACGAGACGAAAAATGTATGATTTTTACATCAAATCGTTCAGAACACTGTAGCCGAGTTGACATGTGTATTATGAAGAAGGGCCATTGCCGGAAACGTCGCTGATTATTTATTTTTTCCTTTTTAGAGCCACTCTGCTACTGAGGAATGCGTTGCGTTTGTTGGCACAGTTCATGGCATCACTGCAGTGTGCTTTCGTGGCCAGCAGAGGGCGATATTGCCCTACAAATGTGCTGCTGCGCTGGTCAAAGTGTCCGTTGTCCTGTTTTTGTTAACACAATAAATCTGGTCAATGATGTTGCTGTTATTCTGTGAAAAAAAACCCTGATATTAACCGGTGTGATGATGCATATGATCGTGATAATAATTTACAGCCGTTCTTTCACTTGTTTGATGAAGGCCTTCCCACACCGTACCGGTCATGTTGGGTTGACTACTCTAGGTCGACTCGAATTGTATGTGGTTGCGTTGAGTTAAAATATCAGCACTAAAGAGACAAAGGTGGCCGGGAGGTGGTGTTGGCCACCCAAGGGAGGCAGCTTTTATTGAGAAGCAAGTTGAAGGCTACAACACATGGAGAGGATCTCAAAATAAAGCGTACATGGTACATATTTGTCTTTCCACAAATGTAGGGTACGTATATACAGAACACGGAGTAAAATTCTGACCAACTGAAATTCATATAATTAATTTAAAAATGTATTATTCTCAACGTTCAGTTTCACCAAAAGATGGGTTATGAACAGCAATTAACGAACGAGGTTTAAGCACGCCTGCGAGTGTCAAGAGAACGGTCGGTACCGAGTTACAACGGATAGACGCGCGGCCATCTCTGAGGCCTGTCGTAGGAGATGGCCGTGATGCAGCAGGGGCCGATGCCCAACGTGTCGCCTCTTGTACACCGTCTCACTTTTACTTTCAAGGCAGTGCGGTTGATGAACGCTTTGTTGACAGAGAGCAACTGTTGGTAGCGAGTTACAACAGAACTTCACCACTCCCCCCCCATTGATGTCAGCTTTGACTAGGAATCAAACTCAAGTTGCAGGGTTCATCGCTCAGGACGCAGGACATGAACCGTTGTGCGACTGCTCCCCCCCCTCCCCCCCAAATTCTGTACAAGTAAGGGTAACTAAACACTCGTTGTGTGGGTCTTCTCGGAGTGCTCCAGTTTTGTCCCACATGAAGCCAAACACTCAATAATGGAATTGACCAAACACGCCAAAATCAGGACCCACCTGAAAAGTCTTGAGACTCAACGAAGCTTTGCTGCTTAAATAGAGGGAATTTCACTTTTATTTATCTATTGGAGAGGGGAGGGGGGGAGGATGCGAGAGTGGTGGCACTGGTGGTGCAGTGGTTAACACACTGCACTGTGAACCTGGTGATGCGAGTTTGATTCCCGCACACGCCTGAAATCAGCGGTGAGCGATATCTGAAACAGTCGTGAATAGCGCTGCTGAGCGTGGTGAAGTATGGTCAAGCAACTTCCATGTCCAACACTGTGGGGAGTTTTTATTATTATTATTTAGCAGTAGATTGACAAATGACTTTACATTTTAATTATTGTTGTACTTGTTTTAATGTTTTTTTGCTCTTCCCATTTTGGTGACTGGGTCACTTGCGGCCTTCATCAGGTGAAGGGACGAGACTGTCTGTGTTATTTTATTTTATCAATTTATTATTTTATTCTCATTCTACGTAACTTTACCGAAAGAACCAAAGAAGATGAATCCTTGCAGTCACGAAAGCTTTAAATCGAAATTTAAACAAAATAACTTGATGCTTGAATCACGGATGTTACACTCCTCGATTTAGCACAACGATCTAAATTCATATTTTCTTCTCCTTGTAGGAAAACTGAAGCATCTGTCTGCGCAGTCCCGCCGGGCGAAAAGCGCCAACAGCGCTCATCAGCAGCTCGCGGGGAGCCCTTCGAAGCCCGGCAAACGGGTGAGCACAGCGAATGGCGAAACCATCATGGCGCGTTGTACGTTTTGGCTCCCCCTTTACCGCTGGCACATCTGAGCCAGATTTTTTTTTCTACTTTCGATCAACGCACAGGTTAAGCCAGCAGTTCTCAACCCAGGGGTCGTGCCCCCCACCCCCGAAGCCTTTCAGAGTGGGGGGGGGGGGGGGGGCAGGCTGCGGCATGAATACTGTGCAGGAGAAATGTTTACATTTGCGCGGGGAACGTCGGTGCGGCGAGAAAACGCACGAACACACAACATCAAAACATTGCCTTACTAATGCAAAACACACACTAACACGCAAAGTGAAAATATTGCCTTGCTAACACGAAACACACCAACACACAACGTGAAAACATTGTCTTACAAGCACAAAACACGCACTAACACGCAACGTGAAAACATTGCCTTACTAACACAAAACACACGACGTGAAAAGATTGCCTTACGAACACAAAACACGCACTAACACGCAACGTGAAAACATTGCCTTACTAACACAAAACACACACTAACACACGATGTGAAAACATTGCTTTACTAGCGCAAAACACACACTAACACGCAACGTCAAAACGTTGCCTTGCTGACACAAAACAACACTTATACACAACGTGAAGCAGATGCCTTGCACGACGTTGACTCGAGGTGTTGACGTATGATCGCTGGGTATTGTGTCCTTGGTAGCCTGGGCGTGTGCGCGGAGACCAGTCGGTTTTGATTGGAGCAGGCCCGCCGGTTTGAGAACCACTGCTTTAGACCCCTTATCATTGTCAGAAGATCAGCCTTCATCACGACGGACAGTTTTCACATTTTGGTCTCTTTCTCGAGTGACGCTGAGCAACTTTAAAATCGCGAAAACAAAATTGACGCTGGCTCGGTGCAAGAGAGCTGCACCGTCACCCACCGAGAAGCCAGCCACTTAAGCTGGAAGATTTGTCTTGGGCATATTTTGACTCTGGCCCGAGAATAAACTTAAAAAAAACTGCAAAGCGAGGAACGCGGCAAAAAAAAAAACTGTCCCAAGCACAGAACCGCCTGCCCGCCCACCCGCCTGGCCAGTCGTCCAACCCCCACAAAGTCCGCTCTCAGGCTCTTCGGCCACCCAGTGTTCCCCGCTCTCCCTCTCTCGCCTCCCGTCCACTCGAATATCCGTAGCACGGGCTGGTGCGGTTCGGTGCGGCGTGGGTCGGTACACACGTGCGCGCGCACGCACGCATGCTGCTGAAGTGGCTTCAGGTTGGATCAACGATCCTGTGAAGGGGAGTCGGAATAGCGCCAGGAGTGGCTTAGAGTGGGCATCGCGGCCCACTCGGGGCAGCTGTTTTGCCGCCTGAGTCATTGCTTTAACTAGAAGTTGTTTTTTTCCCCCCCCTCTCTCTCTTTGCCCTGCGTTGTTTTGAGAGGGTCTTGCTACGGTGTGCACGTGCGCACACGCGCGCAGCCTCAAATGAGTACCTGGTGCGGTGTGTAAAACATCGCCACTGGGGAGACAAAGGCAGCCGGCCGTGGTGTTTGCCACCGACCTCCTCGTGTGCCGTGCCGGCCTTCATTAGGTGCTCGCTAACAGCACTTGCCCCAACAGTCTGTTCAGGCTCTCCGGGGGATCTTTTTCTTTGTCTGTGTGGGGGAGCGGTCGTGTAGTGGTAAGCGCACTGCGCTAATAACCCTCAGACCCCAGTTCGATTCCTGCTCACAACCAAGAACAGTGGTGAATATTTGAACTGGTCCTGGTCGACTCAGCCTTAAATAAGTACGTGGCTGCTTTTTGTAAAATTATCAGCACCAGGGGAGACAAAGGTGGCCGGGAGGTGGTGTTGGCCACCCAAGGGAGGCAGCTTTTATTGAGAACCAAGTGAGAGGCTATAACACACGGAGAGAATCTCAAAATTAAGCGTATACGGTACAGATTTGTCTTTCTGAAAATGTAGGGCACGCATATACGTAAAAATCAGACCTACTGAAATTTCGAAAAAAAATAGATTTTACAATTTTTCTTACTCACAAACTTTCAGTTTCACTGAAAGATGGGTTATGAACGGCAATTAGTGAACGAAATCTACGCATTCTTGCGAGTGTCAAGAGGCCGGTCGGTACCGAGTTACAGCGGAATGTCACGCGGCAGATGCGGCCATCTTTGAGGCCCGTTGGCCACGATGCAGCAGGGGGGCCGATGCCCGACACGCGCCGCCTTTTGCACGCCGTGTAATTTTACTTTCCAGGCAGCGCTGTTGATGAACGTGTTGTTGGAAGGAGAAGCGTACGAGCGAGCGAGCGAGCCTGAATGTGTGAACGTGCCGCACGGGTTTTTTCCCAGAGTGAACGCGATCGCGTGGGTCGTTGCGATCGAAACGTGACAAGGGTGGGAAAAACCCGATTTTTTTTTTTGCCCGACAAATCGGGTTATTGGCTTTAATGGAATTAAACCCGATTTTGCCGATTAAAACCTGGTTTTTATTATCGGCGTCCCGTGCACACTTCAATCCTGCTCCTCCTCGTCGTCGTCGCTCTCGCCGCTGGAGCCGGTGTTGTCGCCGTCGCCGGGCGTTGGGTAGTCGTAGAACGCGTCGAGGTTCGACTTAATGAAGACGAGCCTCTCGACTGTGTTGGACATTGTGTGGAAAACTTGGAATGGCGGCTTTCCGACGAGTGACGAACTGACGACGAAGGCCTGGGCGAGGGCCGAACGCACCGCGTGACTCGGGCGCGTGGCGGCTGAGCCCGGGCCCCGGCCCGAACGCCGCTGATGGGTGCGTGCGTGCGACCGAAATCCCGACTTAACTTTAATAAGACCGAATGAAACCGGATTTGGGCAGGATCCAGGTGCTCCGGTTTTATATAAAAACCGATTAAAACCCGAACGAATAAAACCGGGCCGTGCCAGCCTTGAAATGTGAACGCGCGAGTCCCCCCGCGTCAACCTAAGGGCGCGCCTTTGTGACTTGTGAACGCACAAGCGAACTGCGAGTGACCGTGAACGCGTCGGTGAAGATGGATGTTCATCGACGAACACGAACAATCGAGTGGACGCGTGACTGTGGGACGCACTGGTGAACGCGATCACACAGTTGCAAATACTAGTGAATGCGTACTCACGGGTGAACGCGTGGTTTACACGTGTGGATGTGCACACTTAAGGGAATGTCAGTACCGGGTTAACGTAGAAGGCACGAGTAAATGTAACTGCACGAGTGAATTTGAACACGAGTGAATGCGGGTACAGACCTGAGCACAATTGACTGAACTCACGAGTGAATGTGGACTCGGAGGTGAGCGAGTATACGAGTGGTCGTGAACGTGAACGCATGAGTGAGCGCGCTCATCGCCGAACAGTCGCGTGCCCGCGTACACGCGCGCTCACACGTTTCGCAACCCCTCCTTCACGTTTGCCCACTCCTCCCTCGTTCCCTCACGGTCCTCTCGGCCTCGCCCGGCCCCCTGCACTCCTGCCCGTAGCCCCACGCAGCCCAGCGTAGCCGGCGTAGCGCGACGAGTGACGCACAATCGCAGGAAAGGGCCGCTTCAATAGCTCTTGTCGGGTCACGGCGAGAACCCCTGATTAACTCCGGCGTGTTCGCCCGTGATAACGAGCGCCTTTGTCGCGCCGTTCCGACCGGGTTATAATCGGCGACCTTGCCAGTAAAATATCCTGCCCTCCGACTTCCTTCCCGCACGCCCGCTTGCTCGTGGGTTCGGGGGGTAATGGCCCCCCCACCCACCTCCTCTGAATGTTTTGCTCGTCCGGCAAGCTGGGGTGACGGGGGGGGGGTGGTGGGCGGGCAGCTCCGTTGAATCCATTGGCCATTCTTCTTCTCCGCCGCCGCCATTTCTGCGTCGCCGTCGGCCGCCTGGCCGCCGTCGCGAGTCGCCGCGCCGCTTTGGCATTCGGCGTCCGTCGACTCGAAAACTTTCGGCGTCGACGCCGGTTTATGTCGTGGTCAGGTTCCCGGGGTGTTTTGGGGTTGTTGTTGTTGTTTTTTTTTGGTCTTCGCCGAATATCCCAGCAGGGCTGTAAGTAAGTGGGCTATGTTATGGCTAGCGGAGGAAGCGCTTTGATGTGTTTGTTTCGCTCTCTGCTGATTGAGTGGCGCGTGCACCTTGACGCGTGCGTACCGCCCCCCCCACCCACTACCCACCGCCGTCGCCGCCGTGCTCGTGACGGAAATATATCCTGAGTTAACCGATTGGTTGAATTGACAATATTTGGGGAGAGGTTTGAAAATTTCGCCCCTCTCGCACCAACATTGAATACCTTCGGAGGGTTTTTACTAAACGTTGGGCTGTTTCGGTCGACTCGACTTGGAGAGCGAATGACTAAATGAAAGCCGCACGACGCCGTGGCTGTCACTGACGTAAGGGGGACGCTGGCTACGTCAGCACCGCCCGGAACGGTGATGTCTTAGCGGTGCTCCTGCACAGGAGAGCTGGGATGGGGTGCGCGGCTTCACACGCGAGAGCATGGCGCGTCTCGTCCGCTGCTAGATTTTTTTTTTTTTACCACTCGCCATGACCAGCCGCTCGTGTACATTTAGTGTACCTTCAGGGTGTGCTAATTGGCCTTCTAGACGAGTGTGAATAAAAAGTGCTGTACATTTATTAATTGTTAGAAATTACCTTATTCTAGCGAATGTTAACACGTTTACCGAATTACACTCTGAACGGGCTGATGAATCCCAGTTTAGCCGAGGCCAGTTGAAGTTCGCCATGTTTTAAACACAACTCCTGGGAAGCGATGAGAAGGCCCACAGGCCGATGGATTAAATGTTATTTCCTTTCTGAGATTAAGGCAAATCCCTCATACATACTTATATGTTTTAGCAGTTTGTGTGTGTCAGCATGTGAAAATCTGTGTGTGTGTGTGTGTGCGCGTAGGCACGTGAGCATCTGTAGGTGTGTATGGCTCTGTGTCAACATGAAGGTATATGTAGATGTGTGCGTGCGTGTGGAAGCGTGTATGCACGCGAGTGTTTTTGTATCTATGTG